TCATATATATAAAGGTAAAACAAGCAAGGGCAGGTATAGAAAGAAGACAGTACAAGCAAGATCAAGAAGTGAGCAAGTGAGGCCAGGTAGGCACAAGACCTAGCATAGTACAGAAGCGCTGATGATCACAAGGCGGAAGGGCCTTGGTAAAGATATCAGCAGTGTTGGCCTCAGAGGCCACGTAGGTGAGGCGCAGCTGACTACGCTGCTGTAGCTCATGAGACAGGAAGTAGCGGAGAGCAATGTGCTTCGTTCTGTGCTCCAGTCTGTGCTCCCGACACAAGGCCAGCATGGCCTTGTTGTCTACGTACAGAAATGGAGGAGAACGAGGCGGCTCTCCTAGGTCAGTCAGCAGGTAGGTGAGCCAGCGTAGCTCCTGTGCAGCCATGGCCCCTGCGTAGATCTCAGCCTCACAGCTGGAACCGAGAACAGAGGACAAGAGGGGTAGACCGCCACGAAACAGAGCCGGAGCCAAGGCTGAAGGTGTAACCCTGTGACAACCGCTGCATAGCCTGGTCGTCAGCCCAAGTAGAGTCAGCGTGACCTGTGAGGACTACTCGACGTCGCCCTCCAAGCACTAGCCCCATGCCCGACGTACTGCACAAGTAGCGCAACACCCTCTTCGCTGCAGCCATGTGCTCTGGTCTGTGTCTCCCATGAGCAACATAACGTGCCAAGATGCTAAGAGGGTATGAAAGGTCAGGTCGTGTGCAGGTCATCAGGTACATGAGGCAGCCAACAAGCTCTGGGTACGGGCCACTCGACTCTACGGACTCATCCGAAGGCAGAGCTGAGAGCCAGTGGCGAGTAGACAGAGGAGTGGCCTGAGGCGAGGAGTACGTGTAGCCGAAGCGCTGAAGGACCTGCTGCACCATGTGTGACTGAGTCAGGGTAATGGTGCGCTGTGCTCTGTCCCGGGTGATCTGCAAGCCAAGGTAGCTGCGCAGTTCACCCAAGTCTGTGCACGTGTGTCTCTTCTACAGCTCGAACTTCACATGGGCGAGTCCAGCAGTGTCAGCAGTGGCAAAGACCAAGTCGTCAACCTACACGAGGATGTAGAACGGCGGCAAAGAGGTTTCGGTGCGCAGAAACAGCGACGGGTCGGCTGTAGAAGGAGCAAACCCAAGAGCCGCAAGTGTAGTCGTCAGTGTGTCGTGCCAGTCACGGGGCGCCTGGCGGAGACCGTAGACTGGCCGCCAGAGGCTCCACTGGGTACCAGGAGGAAACGACCCACTGAAGCCAGGAGGGCGGCGCAGCCAGATCTCCTCGTGCAGGCTGCCCTGCAAGAAAGCTGTGCTGAAGTCAAGAGAGTGAAGCTCGTAGTCGCGCTGAGCGGCTATGTGCAGCAGCACCGGAAGACTGGTCATCTTCGGGGTGGGAGAGAAGGTCTGAAAGTAGTCAACTCCCTGCCGCCGACTGAAGCCTCGAGCCACATAACGTGCCTTGAAGACAGGCGGAGAGCCCAGCGGCCGCTTTATCCTGAAGATCCACATCCCACTGACGATGTTCGCCCCATGTGGGGGAACCTCGTTGACGTAGGTGCCTGTAGACTTCCAGGAAGCCATCTTTGCGTCCATGGTCGACTTCCACTGAGAGGAGTAGGGACCCTCGATCGCCTCAGCGTACGATCGAGGAGTCAGGATGTCTGGTGCATCCGGGTCTCCCTCAGGGGCAATCAGCGTGGACACGAGATGGGGCAAAGCAGCCGCAAAGCACTGGAACTCCTCCTGCCTGTCCTCAAGGACGTCCGTGCTAAGAGCACACTCACCCCCGACAGACAGAGGACAGACAGACTTAGACTCAGCAACAAGATTGGCAGCGTAGTCTAGACGACAGCAAGCAGCGAAGTCGACAAGCTCAGCAATTAGAGCAGACGCAGCAGTGGACTCAAAGGTAGGGTCAGTGACAACAGTAGCAAGAAGGCGCGTGACCGAAGGACTAGCAGCACGAAGGGAGTCAGACTCCGGGTCAGCAAGAGAAGGAAGAGAGGACTCTGGAGGAGACAGCAACGGGACACGAAGAGGAGCAGTGAAAGGACGCAGTGCCATCTGGTGTGTGCCAGGGACCACAGGAGGACGCGGACGCGTAGCACGACGACTAGTGCGAGCAGCACGAACAGGCGACGCAGGACAAGACGCAGGCTCACGACGCTCAGCAAGACCTCCAGTACGACATGTGTAGGGAGAAGGAGCAGGCAGTGGGGAGGCGGGCTGTAACTGTGATTGTGACTGGACAGGCTGTGGACACTCTAAGGGAGGAGCAAGACTAGGAGAGGGCGGGAGACCAAGAACCTGCTCCAGGAGCAGAATGAAGTACGGCCTCGGCCGCTCAGCGCCTCCAGAACCAGCAAGGATGGCACCAGTACCCCCAGCGGATGCACCAGCGCCAGCAGCACCGCTAGTGCCAACACCCTCAGCAGCTCCAGCTCCAGCACCACCAACTCCAAGAGGACCGTCAGCACCAGCAGCCTCAGCAGCACCCCTAGACGCACCAGCACCAGTAGAAACACCAGGGCCAACACCCCTAGCAGCTCCACCTCCAGAAGCACCACCACCGACAGCAGCTCCAGCAGCACCCCCAGACTCAGTAGCACGTCTGAAGCGGCGGGCGAACCACTCGCGCAGCTCCTGTGGAGAGAGCGGCTCCCGCCTCGTCGAAGCACTCCCGGTGGCCACACGAGCAGACCCAGCACCCCCAGGCTCCACACACCCAGGCCCAGCACCCCCAGGCTCAGCACCCTCAGTCTCAGCACCCCCAGGCTCAGCACCCCCAGTCTCAGCACCCCCAGGCTCAGCACCCCGAGGCTCACGGAGCTGCTGAGGGGTGGGGACGTCGCGAGAACGCTGCTGCTGCTGCTGGCGCTGACCGCCCCCAGTGCCGCTCCGCTACGAAGCTCCACTCCGACCACCTCCACCTCCGCCACCCCCGCCTCCGCCTCCACCGCCCCCGCCTCCGCCTCCACCGCCGCCACCTCCGCCACCTCCGCTACCACCGCCACCGCCGCCGCCACCCCCGCCTCCACTGCCGCCACTAGCACCCCCACCCCCGCTACCACCTCCAACGCCACCCCCACTCCCTCCGCCGCCTCCACCTCCACCGCCACCGCCCCCACTGCCCCCACCCGCTCCCTTGCCTCCCTTGCCCTTGCCAGAGCGGCGTCTCCCACTAGGGGCAGACGCCGCACCGACCGACTCAAGACCAACGAGGTCGGCCGCAGCGGCAGAGGCGACAGAGGGCAGGAGAGGGGAAGGAGAACACCCCTCAAAGATGGGGGCGCGGGGGTCACCTCGAGAGGCTCCTACAGCAACTATGCTCTTCTCTGCTACAAGGAGGGCCTTCTCGAGGCTGTCGACTGTGAGGGTGGTGGGACAGACCGCGAGGAAGTGGTCCCGGACTACACGAAGGGAGTCAGGGAGGCGAGTGACTAAGAAGTAGAGAGTGATGTACATGGGGGGGGGGGTTCTTGGCGCAGAAGTCAGCAGGAAGCGCAGCGCGGTAGCGAGTGTCACTAGTGCGGAGGTGCGTGATGAGATCTGCAACAGTGGGAAAGGCGGCAAGGTCAGGGAAGAGGAAGGGGAGCATGAGGCGGCTCAGTGCAGCAGTGGCAGGGGAGGAGTAGCGCGCAACTACAGCGTTGTACAAGGTCTGAGCACTCTTGTGCTGGCTAAAGTGCGCGCGCTCAGTAGTAGGCAGGTGGCGACGCACAGCAAGACGTGCAGCAGCATCGCGCGTGGCCCACTGAGAGCGAACAGTGGCGTCAGCATCAGCAGCAGGGGCAGGGACGGCGCCAGAGGTGAGGTCAAAGAGAGACAGACCGTCGGCCCTGTCGCACTGTAAAAACAGCTGCAGGTCGTCGAGCCAGACCTCAAAGTCAATGGCTCGACCCTCAGCGTCAAAATCGAGGACACTGGGTGTAGCCATGACTACGATAGTGGAGCAGTGCAAGCAGTAGGGGAAGGGTACGCAGCGACAGCAGTGCAGTGCTCACCGGGCAGGGCAGGTCGGGCGGCTCGGGAGGAAGGTCGCGTGGCGACTCGGCCACTAGGCTGCTTGGCGGCTCGGCTCCTGGGCGGCTCGGCTGGTGCTGGGCGGCTCGGCTGCTGCTGGGCGGCTCGGCGGCTCCGGGCGGCTCGGCTGCTGCTGGGCGGCTCAGCGGTTCCGTGCGGCTCGGCAGTTCCTGGGCGGCTCGGCTGCTGCTGGGCGGCTCGGCTGCTGCTGGGCGGCTCGGCGGCTCCTGGGCGGTTGCTCCTGGGTGGCGCGGCGGCTCGGCTGCCGCTGGGCCGTGTAGGTAGGGCGGCCGGGCGGGCTGCAGGGAGCGCGGCGGGTAGGCCGCAGGTAAGGCGGCGGGACGGCCGCAGGTAGGGCCGCGGACGGCCGCAGGTAAGGGCGGCGGGAAGGCCGCAGGTAGGGCGGCGGGTAGGCCGCAGGCAGGGCGGCGGGACGGCCGCAGGTAGGGCGGCGGGTAGGCCGCAGATAGGGCGGCGGGACGGCCGCAGGTAGGGCAGCGGGTAGGCCGCAGGCAAAGTGGCGGGGCCGCGTCTGGGTGGCGGGGCCGCGTCTGGGTGGCGGGGCCGCGACGGAGTGGCGGGGCCGCTCGAAGGGGTGGCGGGGCCGCGACGGAGTGGCGGGGCCGCGACGGAGTGGCGGGGCCGCGACGGAGTGGCGGGGCCGCGTTTGAGGGGGCGGGGCCGCTCGAAGGGGTGGCGGGGCCGCGCGTAGGGGTAGCGGGGCCGCAACTGGGTGGCGGGGCCGCGACGAGACGGCGGGGCCGCTAGCAAGGGAGAAGGGCGACTCGGAGGGTCGCTAAAAAAAAGGCGCGCGCCTCGGGCGCGCTTCGGTGGGCCCTAAAGACCAGTCCCTAGGATGAGACCTGCTCTGATACCATGTGAAAGAATGAACGTGAATGAATAACTATGAAATGAAGTGGGTACAAATATGAAACCCTAATTGGGTTGTACCCCCTATCGGATACCCCACTATAGCCTACAGAAATGAGTAAGCTACAATGTTCTGACATGAGGGGCGGCGCGCTGTCGCCCCTCGACGCAGGGGACGCAGGTAGGGCCAGGCCCCGGAGGAAGGGGAGGGAGAGACCGAGGAAGACCAAAGACAAGGACACGGGAGGCCATGCCTCGGAGACGAGGCAAGGAGGGGTGACCAAGGCGGTGGTGCCAAAGGAGAGTCTGGTGGGACAGTAGACGACACGAGCAGGGGGCAGACTCAGGACCAGACCTGGACGCCGCAGCAAACACCTGACTCGACGCAGCTACCTGGGCAGACTCAACAGCCGGAGGAGACTCAGTAGTAAGGGTGTACAGGCTCGACCCTGGCCGACGGGTGAACGTGGCCAAGTGTCGGCCTGTCCGAGCAGACGTGCAGTGGGTCACTCGAGTGAACTGGTCAACCCCTCGATCCTGTAGGTCCACTCCACTCACCAAGTTCGTAGAGAACGAGGGGAGGTAGAGACCAGACAGGGTGCCAGAGGGGGCTGCAAGGCACGGAAGGACAGTGGAGAAGCTAGCAAGGACAGGACCCCCAAAGGGGTCTGCCAGGGAGATTGCAACCAGCCGACAAAACGGCGTAAGAGTGGTGCAGTCTCGAAAGAAGGAGCGGGACGCACCCGAGTCCAGGGTGAAGGTGTGGAAAGCCTGAGCCGACATAGTACCTGAGAGAGCAGTCTCACCAGCACCTGGGGCGGCAGACGCACTGGCACCTGGGGCAGCAGACGCACTAGCACCTAGAGCAGCAGCCTCACCAGCACCTAGCGCAGCAGCCTCAATGCCCGGGTCATGCGGTACACACAGGTAACAGGCACACTATCAACTACAGCATACATGGCAGCAAGAATAGAATCAAAGTGAAGATCAAAGATAGCAACCCCGGCCTTAGCCAGATCTCCCCAGCGAGGGATCTCTGACGCCTAAGGGAACTGGCGACGCCACGCGTCCATCAGGCGACCAAAGCAGCGCTGGGTGGAGTGCGGACCTCCGCACTGCTCACCAGTGCGGTCTCCGGTACGGAGAATGTAAGAGCAGGGACCAAAACCCCCACCACGCTGGCGTGCAATGTACCACTCACAAAGTTGCTGAGTGGACAGGGTCACACCACTCCGCTGCTGCTGCTGGCGCTGACCACCACCGGCGCCACTCCTCGGCGCAGAGTCGCGACTCGCTCCACCACCGCCGCCTCCGCCGCTGCCGCCTCCGCCGCCTCCGCCGCCTCCTCCACCTCCGCCTCCTCCACTACCTCCGCCGCCTCCGCTCCCTCCGCCACCTCCACCGCCTCCGCCGCCTCCATTGCCGCCGCCGCCGCCGCCACCCCCGGCACCACTCCCACCACCACCCCAACTCCCTCCACCGCCTCCATCACCACCTCCACCGCCCCCTCCACCCCCTCCAGTGCCCTTGCCCCCCTTGCCCTTGCCGGTGCGGCGTCTCCCGCTCGGGGCAGACGCAGCGCCGACCGACTCGAAACCAATGAGGTCGGCCGCAGCAGGAGAGGCAACAGAGGGCAAGAGGGGGGAGGGAGAACACCCCTCAAAGACAGTCACCACGAGGGGCTCCTACAACAACTATGCTCTTCTCTATCGCTAGGAGGGCCTTCTTGAGGAGGTCAACGGTGAGAGTGGTGGGGCAAACAGAGATGAAGTGGTCCCTGACTACCCGAAGAGAGTCAGGGAGCCGGGTGACTATGTAGTAGAGGGTGATGTACATGGGGGGGGGGGGGGGGGGGGGGGGGTTCTTAGCGCAGAACTCAGCAGGAAGCGCAGCGCGGTAGCGAGTGTCAAGAGTGCGGAGGTGCATAATGAGGTCAGCAACAGTGGGAAAGGCAGCAAGGTCAGGGAAAAGGTACGGTAGCATGAGGCGGTTCAGTGCAGCAGTGGCAGGGAAAGAGTAGCGCGCAACTACAGCGTCGTACAAGGTCTGAGCACTCTTGTACTGGCTAAAGTGTGCAAGCTTAGTGGTCGGCAAGTGGTGGTGTACAGCAAGGCGAGCAGCAGCGTCACGTGTGGCCCACTGTGAGCAAACAGTGGCGTCAGCATCGGCAACAGGGGCAGGGGAGGAACCAGAAGTGAGGTCAAACAGGGAGAGGCCGTCTGCCCTATCGCACTGAAGGAAAAGCTGCAGATCATCTACCCAGACCTCAAAGTCCACTGCCCGACCCTCAGCGTCAAAGGTGAGAACGCTAGGGGAAGCCATGACAGCAGTAGGCAGGGGCAGACTGTGCTCTTACCAGGTAGGTGGGGCGAACGGGCTGCTCGGCGGCTCGGCTGTCGGGCGGCTTGGCTGCAGGGCGGTTCGGCTGCTGGGCGGCTCGGCTGCTGGGCGGCTCGGCTGCTAGGCTGCTCGGCTGCTGGGCGGCTTGGCTGCATAGTGCTGGGCGGCTTGGCTGCATAGTGCTGGGCGGCTCAGCTGTCGGGCGGCTCGGCTGCTGGGCGGCTCGGCTCCTGGGCGGCTCGGCTGCTGGGCGGCTCGATTGCTGGGCGGCTCGGGCGGTCGGGCGGCTCAGCTGGCCGGCGGTTCGGCTGCTCGGCGCTGCTGGCGCTGGGCGGCGGGGTCGCAGGTGGTGGCGAGGACGCAGGTGGCGGCGGGGCCTAAGGTGGCGGCGGGCCGCAAGGGTGGGCGGGGCCGCTGTGGCGACGGGGCCGAGGTGGGCGACGTAGCGGGGCCGCAACGGGGCCGTAGCGGGGCCGTAGCGGGGCCGTAGCGGGGCCGACGGGGCCGAAGCGGGGCCTTAGTGGGGCCGTAGCGGGGCCGACGGGCAGGGCTGACGTTTCAAATTTGGGTACCCTGATGGTGCAAAAAAAAAAAAAAAAAACTCTGAGGGCACTTCGGCCAGATTTTGGCCACTCTGATGGCTCATTCTCCAGGAAACCCTTTCCCTATGGTCAAAGGGTTGGCGAACTATGATCAGAGTGCTGTTTCTATCATTTGTTAATTTTTACACAAGCACTGTCTACAATGCCCGGCCGGGTTTATGGTTCACACAAGACAGCACCAACAATCCTACTTTGTCGGCTGATCTATGTCATACATCTCCTCCCCCTCCTCGCCATCCGAGAGGAACGGGTTAACATCTTCCTCTGAGTAATCTCGGGGCGCTGACTGCTCTATCTCCTGATCCATCTCCAGGTTGTCACGATCATTGTCTGACTCCGCGAGCTCCTCCTCGCCCGCAGGCTCCCTGGGTTCCTCCTCTTCCTCCTCCAGATCCTTCTCCTTTCGCTTGCGATCGTCAGATGGGAACAGAACGCTCTGCGCAGGGCGCCTCTTCTTGAGGCTTTTCCAGGTGTCGAGCACCCCAGGCCAGTCCATCTCGTACTGCAGCAGCGAGATCTGCATCAGCTCCGCGAGCTGCGCGTTGCAGAGGGACCCACGGATCCACGACTTGATCACGTTCTGACGCGAGAACCCCCGCTCGCACTCCACAGTGGAGAGTGGCAGGACTGCCAACGCCTGCCACATCAGCAACAGGTTGGGCCAGCGCCTGCACAAAACAAGGAGCATCAGTTTTCCCGAAGCGTTAGATTTGAGACATGCATGTGGCACACGCAGACTAGGTGGACTTGCCTCTTGGCGTCGCCGCTCCCCATGAAGTTCGCCAGTCCCTGCACGAATGACTCGTCCTCGTGGTGAGACTCCATGATTGGGCACCAGGTTGCAAGCTCCTGCGACACTTTCTTGTGATCAAACCCCGGCAGCTTGTTTTTTAACAGAGCGGCGCAGCCAGTCAGCCAGTCCTGGCACTTGCGGTCTCATGCGTGCTTGCTCTTGGGCCAGTGAGACGCACGAAATAGCTTCGTTGGACCCATCCCCCGCAGGTCGTCCAGGCGAAATAGGAGACGATCGACGACGTCCCTCGCGAACTTGCGACACAGCTTCACGCACGCCTTGTAGCCGCTCTTGTACTCATGGTCCTTGAGCTTCCTCTCGTGCAGGATGTACGAGTGGTTCACAGGTCGGCCCTCCGAATCCGAGCCACGCACTTGGACCGTCTGACCCGACTTCTTGCCATACAGCGCCAGGAATTTCGGCAGCCATCCGTTGCCGGAACCACCGACGTCCGCCTTCTTGTCGAGGTACCTGTGCTCGAGGTCGCCAGTGATGGACTCCACGGTCTTTGACACCTCAGTAACGTCGACCTATCCACAACAATTAGTGAATTAGGACACGACTAAACAACAAACATAGCCACCCATAAAACGCTAACTCACCTGCCGCTTCTGAAATGAACGGTTCAGATCATTCAGGTCGCCGAGGATGTCAGCGAGGAAGAAGAGGCAGAACTGAAACTTGTACGATGTCACCGTCTCGTACAATTCGTGCTCCTTCTCGTGGAAGAGCACAATCGCCGCGCCCAGCACCTTGCACAGACGCTTCACCGCGTCGCCCCGGGAGAGCCACCGCACGCTGTGTATGCCCTAGACCTCGAGGTTTGTGCTGTATACGACGCGCTGAAGGTACTTGAAGCGCTGGCTCCAGTGGCATGAGGCGCCAAGGCGTTCAGCAAGAGTGCGCACCACGGTGTCCACCATCGCGAGGTCGGGATTAGCCGTGGCCGCGTCCTTCACCGCCAATGCCTCCCTGTACATCCAACTAGCCAATGATTAGTATCCGTTGGGGTGTTTGTGAGGCGCGGTACATAAAGCAAGATGAAGGCGCGGTAAAAGATTATATCACCTGTGGGCGATGCAGTGTGTTGACACGAGATGCGGCACATGCTCCCGCAGTCTTGTGACGAGGCCGTTGTCACATCCAATCATTACAGACGCACCGTCCGTGCTGATGCCCACCACTCGGTTGATGTCAATGCTGGCGGTGTGTAGGTGGTTGAGGAGCACTGACAAGAGAGAAGCTGCATCACACCGCTCGACAGTAAGAAGGGTGAGATACTCAGTAACGACTCGACGATTGCGCAAGAACGTGATGTACACAATCATGTGCTTCCCGCGGGTCCGGTCGGTGCTCTCGTCTGTGCTCAAGCCGAGGAATGGCGACGAGGCGATGTGCTCCATCTGCGTCTGAGTCAACCAGGTGCTCAGGCAGTGCACCATCTGTTGGAAACCGTATCTGCAATGGTTACGAAGAAACGAGACATTAGCTTTGAAAGACAGTAACCAAACGTTACCTGAATTAGAAACCATACAAACGCACCTCGTGAGGTACACCCCGTAGGCCTGCTTCGGTATGTCGGGGGTGTCCTGTTCAGCGAGATGCCTCATGAGCTTCGGGAACATGCTGATGGGCGCGTCCTCCTGGCAGAGAAACTGCACCGACCTCATCAGCCGAAAAGCCCGCCTACCCTCAAGGTCCGCGTTGATGAAACGATCCATTTTCGTCTGGCTGTTCGAAATTGCCTCTGCAATCTCTGCCTGACGCTGCATCGCCTCCTTGTGGACCGTCGTGTACTTGTGGATGCGCATCGTCTGCGTCTGCAGGTCTCGCCCGCCGTCGCCTGGACCTGAGTACTTGGTTGTCTCCTTGCCCAACGAGAGACACAGGCTGCACTTCACACTGGGACCACCGTCTTTAGCGCGAACCAAAAGCAGCCATGGGAATTTGGGCAACCACTGGGTTTTATACACTCGCCTCTATGTACTTCTGCTCCAATACCTCAGCCTTGGACAGGATGGGACAGTTGGTGTCCGCACGTACAGGTATCTCCTCTGGTTCCTCTGGTTCGGGCTCGGAGTCTTCTGGAGCGCTTGGTGGTGCCACGCGCACACCGCCGAAGGTCAACGTGCTCTACTGAAACTTCCCGCGGAGTACGACAGTGCGCGCCTTCTTAGCTGTACGGCCCTTGGGGGTGGGAGCGGCATCATTGCAGCCACTGCTACCAACAGCAGAGGGAGGCGCTGTACTGGACGACGGGATGGCGGGAGGGAGAGTGAACGGCGCTGGTGGTGGTGCGGGATTGGGAGAAGGTTGCGGCCCCTTGCTAGACGACGCGATGGCGGGAGGGAGAGTGAACGGCGCTGGAGCAGGCGCGGGATTGGGGGTCGGTTGCGGATTCTTGCTGGACGACGGTAACTCCTCGGTATTAACAACAGCAGCGGTAACTAAAGGTTCTGGAGTGACTGGAGCTACGCTTGATCGAAGGAAGTCTAGGCCGCTAACCCTACGGTCGGGAGGCTTTTCCGGGACGGCCCCAGGGGAGTCCTCCGCGGGAGATGAGGACGCCATGGCGAGAGAGAACGATGAATCAAGAAGTTGAAAGCACGAGAATGAAAGCAACATGTGAAACTGGCGAAGGCCCTTCAGCTTGGAAAGAACCATCTGCAGCAGACGGAACGAAAGCCGCGTCGCCACGACAATGGCTCACGGAGTGGGGTGGGGTTTGATGAATGAATTGGGCCTTGAAGACGGGGCCAAATTCATCTGCCACAATGCCACCACACATAGCTGGTGAGCCATGCCACCAATCGCGATCAACCCATCACATTAAGTGAGGGTGGCGCGGTTCGCGTGGCTGCAGAGTCATCATCAAACTGGCCGCAGCACGCCGCACCTGGCTGCCTTGTTGTGCACGGCGCACCAACAGATTTTGTCAACATTACGTGGTTTCGAAGCCACGCGAACAAGAAGACAACCACGGGGGGTGGTGAAATGATTACGCGTGGAACATTTTTACACGGGGGGGGGGGGGGGTACTTTCGGACATTTCGGGGAAGCTTCCTCTCAATACATCGGCATACAGGGACCACATACTGTATACTCTGTAGAGCCAGACTCCAGAAACGACTAAGTCTGAGAACTATTACACTATATCAGGGGCCTACAAACAATAACACTGAGGCCCTCAGGGATGAGATATTGATTACTCTGCAAATCCATTTTCCACAACCTCAATGCTCTGATTGGTCAGACTAATCAGACTATTTAGTCTGATAGCGTCAGCCCTGCCGACGGGGCCGTAGCGGGGCCTAAGCGGGGCCGACGGGGCCGAAGAGGGGCCTAAGTGGGGCCGTAGCGGGGCCGACGCGGCCGTAGCGGGGCCGTAGCGGGGCCAAAGCGGGGCCGACGGGGCCAGAGCGGGGCCTAAGCGGGGCCGACGGGGCCTAAGCGGGGCCGACGGGGCCGTAGCGGGGCCGTAGCGGGGCCGTAGCGGGACCTAAGCGGGGCCGTAGCGGGGCCGACGGGGCCGTAGCGGGGCCGTAGCGGGGCCTAAGCGGGGCCGTAGAGGGGCCGCGACGGGGCCG